TTATTCACGTTCACTCACGATCACGGCCCGTGAGCGTGAGTGAGCGTGAATCACGTGAAACATGATTCACTTTACCGACACTAACACAGACATAGACCTGATGGCTGGTGTGACCCGTAACGAGGGCTCGGGGTTTGCCAAAATTATTTTATCGCAACCGAACAAAACCACCTTGGAACAATTCAAATTCGGTATTAACCTCGTGAACGCTTTATACCACAACATAGATGTACCAAAAGTGACCGATAGTTATCTGTCGGGCGTCAACATCACTGACCCGTCGACCCTTTGACACAGATTTGCCGACTTTTTTGGCGATTTAATACTCAAGTGTCCGACATATCTGTTTGCGCGGCAGTTCAGCGCCGGTGTTGCGGACACACACCGGGTCTACTTCTATGAGTTGGACTACGAGAGCGAACTGTACGGCAAACATACCGGTTGTGATCCCAAAACGATGGGCGTCTGTCACGCGGCGGACGTGCCGTTTGTATTCGGCTTACCGTTGATTCACACTAAAGACTTCTTACCGCAAGACCTGGTCTTCAGTCGAGATGTGATGCGATTGTGGACTAAGTTTGCAAAAGACGGGTATATATAGTATTGTTGTGTTGTTTTATGTGTTGATTAAGTGTTTGCAATGTATTTGAATAGACGTTTTGGTGATGAGTGGCCGCAGTTGTCGGGCGCCGGTGTGTCGTCCGGTGCGGCGCCACTCGTGCGAAGTCTAGATCCGACAAATATGAGCCGCATTTACACCGATCCCTATCATAACACTTGTGATGGCGTTTGGCAGACATACTATCAATAAATTATTAAATTTTAATATTATCAGTTAAAATCGACATTAAAATAATTAAATAGTGTACATCATTATAATTATTATTATTTTCAAATATTGTTGACAGTTTGAAATCTGTATGTTTGCCGTAAATCATTCCTGTATTGTAGTGCCCTGCTAACTTTATGATGATTTACCAGTGTATTCGTTGACACACTGTCTGATTGGCTCTAAACTGCGCGCAGAACATGAGTTTTGATGCGATCTTATGATTGATATCTGGGAACAGGTTTTGGTTGTCATAAAAATGCAGTTTTGAAAACACGTGGAAATTATTTGATTTAATACAACACATGTGAACAACACTTTTGTTTATTGAATTAATTGTTTATTTAACTTATAGTTAAGTTAATTTGTTTTAATTATTGTTTAGTCAAAAGTTTTATTTAAATTATAAAATGTGTGAAAAGCTAATGAATGTTTCGTTGATTGAAATGAAGAGTAAATTAAATGCAAT